TCAATATTTTAAAGATTTAAATGAAAACCCACTCTTTGCAAGGCACTATGCTGGGTGCTAGATGATGAAAACTGAACACAGAGTTAGTTTATAGCCTAACCTATAGCCTACTGTAACCATAATACAATGAAAATGTATATCAAAAGTCTATAACAGTGATATAAGCACATACTTGTAAAGCTCAGAGAAGCTCAAGGAATATATATACACACACATATATATATATAAATGTTGCATATGAATATATAATAAATATTATGTGTATGCATTGTAGGTTACATATGAATATGTATTATATATAATATACCTATATTATGTATATGTTATATATCTTTATTTTATATATATACCAATGAATATATATTTTCATATGCAATCTAGAAGAAAGAATGAGGCAAAATTGTGTTTAATAGATATTTATCTACTTAATGTATGAATTTTCATCTTCCCTCATATTTTACTCTCCTGAATCACAATGATTTCACATTATTAATAATGGGATTTGACACACAGAAACATAGTTTGCCAATCACTGACATATACAGTCACAAATGATTCTTGTTAATGTCTGTTTTTCCAATAAAAATTGGAAGTTTTTTTAGCCAAATTGTCATAAATATTTTCAAAAGAGTAATTTTCAAATTCCCTACTCCAAGATTTCATTTAAAAAATTAAAATAAGGTAGGGATGTGTTTTAATTTACCATATCATATCAGTCTTTGTTCAATGTAGTACTTAAACTGCTGTTATCATAATTCAGTATATGAAATTGATTTTATGTAGTAAACTCCATCTTCACAAAAATATTCAGTATCCTCTTCATTGGACAAATACTAATAAATAATAGTGATGTGAGCTTGCAATTTTAAATTAATAATTCTGCTAATACTGGGGATTTCAATATTATTTTTAGCATAACTGACTTAACAGTTTAGGTCTTTTTTGATGCTGGGGAAGTGAAAAATCCAGGAACCAACTTAACTCAGAATAATGATGAATTCACAAGCCTTAGGTATTATAAACCATTAGGATGCAATTTACCTGAAACTACAACCTAAGGTTGAATTTTCAGCACAGATAAAATATCATTTGCACATTTTATTCATTTTGTATAACTTAATAACTGCCAATTTTTAAAAATATGGTAGTGGCTCTAGTGGAAACATTCAGTATTCTCAAATAACTACTGTGCCCACAAATACTTAATGGTGTCCCCTTCATCCAATGAAGAAGCAAGGTGAGAGGCAAAGTGGTTTAGTGAAAAATAGCACTGGACAGGAATTAGCACACCTGGTTACCAGTCCCAACATGCTATAAATCAGTTAGCTTTGAACAAGT